GATGCTGCTTGGCCTGCTGTGTTCATCCAGCCCTGCACCTTGTTGTCTCGGATTCTCCAGCATCTGCAGTTCCTACTATCTCAGAGTAATTAGTGATTTTGATCTAAGTACAGCAGCTGCTCAACGGATAATTTTTGCTTCTTTTCCATTAACTTTAATTCTGCAAAAGGTGCTTTGAAGATCCCTCAATAGCTCAGTGAGTTTCTCCAATGTGTATTCAAGCTGTACAGATCAGAAGGTTCCTTCTGCAGTCTCTGCTGAGCAAACTTTCTTCATCTAGAGGAGCCGCAGTGTTACTACAATTGTCTGACCTCAGTGCTCCATTCCCCTTAGTTAGGATTCTTGCAGATTAATGAACCTTAGATCGGATTAAGGCCAAATCCAGCTGGCTGTGAACTGCTCGGATTGTATTTGTGAATCCTCTCAAATGAGCATTAGCCACTAAGGTGTGATATTGTAATCTTTCTGGTGTTTGTAGAAAAAGAAGATCATTTCATTTATATGCTGTGTTTTATAAAGATTTATAAGCTGATCTGGAACCCATCAAACTGGAATGGTTCACTGTGAGAAGGCCTGTAATATAAAATGCACTTCACAAATAGGTATAGGAAATGAATACCAACCTGAAAAGTGAGATGCTAGGATGGTACTGAAAGTTTACTCAGACATGGGGTTTGAGAGGATTTTAAAGGTGTCAAAGGAACTTCACTAAAGAGGAGCAAGGCTGCTGAAAGCTCTATCATAGGTAGTGAGGGGAGAACGGTATGGAGGCAGAATTCACAGCCAAAGTATAGAGCTTCAAAAGATCTCAGAAAATCTCTACGAAGAAATTAGAGCAGGGAATTAGTGAGTCAGCATGGGTGAGGTTGATTGGTGTAACACTTTTTTCTAAAAAAAAAGTATCGGAAAAATTCGCTAGGTATGGCAGCATCTGTGGTGAGAAAAACAATTAATATTTCAAGGCCAAAGTGACTTTTTGTTCCAAATAAGTCACACTGGACTCGGAAAAGTTAATTCTTCCCCTGGCTACACATACTGCCAGATCTACGGAGTTTTGTTTTTATTTTAATCTGCAGTTCTTTTATTTGGGTGTAGCAGTGTTTTGGCTAAGTTTGAGTCCATTAGGAATGGATGATGGAAGGACAGACAAAGTAATATAATCTGGAGGCAACTGCAGAAGCAGATAGCGTTACGAAGTTTGAAATAAATCAGCTTGGTGTATGTGACCAAAAATGTTGTTAAAGTGGCAATTTTCAAGCTGTGGAAGGAGAATTAACTTAATGGAAAATAAGCATAGCTTATTTAAACTGGTAGCTTTAGACAGTAGCAGTCTATCCAATGAATATTATCGAAGCATGAAGTGAATTCAGTAGTGGCCGTGTATCTCCTGGAGGCATTTTGTAGCATGAAGCATGCATGAACAGAATGTTATATGCATGCATTGGAATGTGTTGTTTGATATTACACCCACTTCAGTCTGATAAATATACTGGTGCCAGTTATGTTAAACGGAGGATACTTTTTGACTGTTCTCCGTTCAGGTCTTAGTTAGGATCATGTTTAGGGTCAGATTTTGTTAACAGGGAATTCCCTGTGATGCTGTACTAATCTAATTTCAGGGAACCAAGAAATGGAGTACTGCATCTTTAATCCTCCTATTCAGAATGCTGGATAAGAATCCTATATATTTCTCTAAGAAAATGGGTATCACCACCTTTGTTACCAGGTGGGGTTAGCTGAAATGACATCCTCCTTTCAAGGTTATGGTAAGCAGAACTTTTAGAAATAGTTGGTTGAAATAGTTAACTGCGTAAAAAGCATTAAAACTACTGAAAAGGTAATAAGAGGCATATTTATATTGAGAAAATATTTAAGCTCTCCTGTTTTGTTGGTTCATATTTGTTATTGGCCTACTTAATATTTGAAGGAATGGCCCACAATTAGTGGTCAAAGTGTGTGAAGTGGGATGTGCAGTAGGCCTGAGTTGGTGAATGCAGAGTTCACGGAGTTGTGTGCGGCTGGAGGTAGGCCATGTCCTGAAAAAATTTCAACATCTGAATGTTTTCATTTGTAAGCATTGTAAGAGATGACCATAAAACAATAAGATGTAGGACAGAGATAGTAGGAACTGCTGATGCTGGAGAATCTGAGATAACATTGTGTAGAGCTTGATGAACACAGCAGGCCGAGCAGGAAAGCTGACGTTTCGGGTCGAGACCCTTCTTCAGAAATGGGGGGGGGGAAGGGGATTCTGAAATAAAAAGAGAGAGAGGGGGAGGTGGATAGAAAATGGATAAAGGAGAAGATAGGTGGAGAGGAGACAGACAGGTCAAAGAGGCGGGGTTGGAGCCAGTAAAGGTGAGTGTAGGTGGGGAGGTAGGGAGGAGATAGGTCAGTCCAGGGAGGACGGACAGGTCAAGGAGGTGGGATGAGGTTAGTGGGTCGGAGATGGGGGTGGGGTTTGAGGTGGGAGGAATGGTTAGGGAGGCGGGGATGAGCTGGGCTGGTTTTGGAATGCGGTCGGGGGAGGGGAGATTTTGAAGCTTGTGAAGTCCACATTGATACCCTTGGGCTGCAGTGTTCCCAAGCGAAATATGAGATGCTGTTCCGGCGTCTTTCGGGTGGCATCATTGTGGCGCTGCAGGAGGCCCAGGATGGACATGTCGTCCAAGGAGTGGGAGGGGGAGTTGAAATGGTTGGCAACCGGGAGGTGTAGTTGTTTGTTGCGAACTGAGTGTAGGTGTTCCGCAAAGCGGTCCCCAAGCCTCCGCTTGGTTTCCCTGATGTAGAGGAGGCCACAACGGGGACAGCAGATACAGTATACCACATTAGCAGATGTGCAGGTGAACATCTGTTTGATATGGAAGGTCTTCTTAGGGCCTGGGATGGGGGTGAGGGGGGAGGTGTAGAGGCAGGTGTAGCACTTGCTCTGGTTGCAGGAAAAAGTGCTGGGGGTGGTGGGGCTGGAGGGGAATGTGGAGCGGACAAGGGAGTCACAGAGAGAGTGGTCCCTCTGGAAAGCAGATAAGGGTGGGGAGGGAAAAATGTCTTTGGTAATGGGGTCAAGATTGCAGATGGCGGAAGTGTCGGAGGATGATGCATTGGATCCGGAGGTTGATGGGGTGGTACGTGAGGATGAGGGGGATTCTGTTTTGGTAGTTATTGTGGGTAGGGTGTGTGAGAGATGAGTTGCGGGAAATGCGAGAGACACGGTCGAGGGCATTTCCGACCACTGTGAAGGGGAAGTTGTGGTCTTTGAAAATTTCAATCTGACCCCACTACAAAGACATTTTTCCCTCTCCACCCTTATCTGCTTTCCGGAGGGACCACACTCTCCGTGACTCCCCCGGCACTTATCCCCATCCCTATCTCCGACCTACTTACCTCATCCCGCCTCCTTGACCTGTCCGTCCTCCCTGGACCGACAGGTCCCCTCCCTAACTCCCCACCTACATTCACCTTTACTGGCTCCAACCCCGCCTCTTTGACCTGTCTGTCTCCTCTCCACTTATCTTCTCCTTTATCCATCTTCTATCCGCCTCCCCCTCTCTCCCTGTTTATTTCAGAATCCCCTTCCCCTCCCTCATTTCTGAAGTAGGGTCTCCACCCGAAGCGTCAGCTTTCCTGCTCCTCTGATGCTGCTTGGCCTACAAGATGTAGGACAGAATAGGTCATTGAACCTGTTCAGTTTGCTTCGCCGTTCACCGTTCAGTTTGCTTCGCCATTCAGTTATGTCCTGGCTGATTTGATAATCCTCAACTCCGTTTTCCTCTTTTTTTTGCCATAACCTTGTTTCCCTTACAGATTATGTTCAAGGCTGAGGTGTTGGGCCGAAGGGCCTGTTTCCACACAAGGGAAACTATGATTCTATGAAACAGATATTTACTTAATGACCCAGTGCCATGACAGGTCTCTGCAGTAAAGAATTCCACAGATTCACTGCCCTCAGAAATTCCTCCTCATTTCAATCTTAAATTAATGCCCCATACTCTGAGATTACACCCAGTGGTCCTAGAACCACTCACAAGCAGAAATAACCTCTGCACGTCAACCTTGTTGTTATGCTTCATTGGGATTGCATGCTGGAAATCAAGCCCTGCTATTCCCAGATTCATCTCAAAAGTTAGATTTTTAAAAATACATAAACCTCTGATTTACCTGGCTTTCAGACCCAGGTTACTAGCCTGCATCAAATTTCCATACTTCTGTACAAGAATTACTATTTATTACAAACAGACTGTAGCTATAATTAAGTAAACAATTATGAACCATCAGCGTATAACTCAACTGATTAAAAGTCTAATCCCCTTATAAAACTCCTCCTTATACACAGATGCAGGCAGCAAAAAAAAGGTGTTGAGGGTGAAGGGAAAAACAAGGAAAGCAGTTCAAAGGTTCCTGTTCAAAGAATCTGCTGAATGATTTTTGTGCTGATTAGAATGCTGCTTTTCAGTCTTGCTTCTCTGAATGCTTTCATTGGTTTGCAGATGGCATAGTGTGACTGGTTGACGCGTAAAGGTGTCTGACTTTTATTAGTTAAAAGTCAGTTTATGGCAATTGCTCATGGAGATCTGATGGCTTCTCCCAATCTGGTTCACACCCTGAAGCTTTTCAGTTGCCCAAAAACTAATTGTCTAATTTTTGGCAGGCAGAAGGCATATGTCCTAGATTACTGGTCAATAGTCCACAAAACAACCAACTATCTCTTGCTGCCTGAATCTCCATTTGCACACAGCCCTTGGCCCCAGCTCATCTCTGAATCACTTATTACTGTTTAAGCTATCAACTGTGTAAACAGTACTTACTATGTGTGTAGTCTACTTGCTTTCAAAATCTGCAACAGTTGCCCAAGAAATCTTTGTTTTTATAACCATTCTTTCTCCATTTTAGCCCACAATCAAAAAGTACAGAAAGATAAAATCACAATCTTTGCACTATCAGGCCCTCAAGAATCCTAACTTTCAATGATGTCACCTGTAATTCTTCTAAACTCAAATGAGTCCAGACCCAACCTATTCAACAACTTCTCATAGAAAAATCCCTTCATGCCTGAGGTCAATCAAGTGAACCTTTTCTGGACTGCGTTCAATACCAGGATATCGTTACGTAAAGGGACTAAAACTTTACGGTATTCTAAGTGCGGCCTAACTAGTGCCTTGGTATAGCAAAATATCCCTATCTTTGTAGCGCATTCCCTTTGTATTAAAGGCTAACATTCCAGTTACTTTCCCCACTATCGACTAAATTTGGCTACTAGCTTTTTGTAATTTATGCACAAGGACTCCCAAAATCTCTTTGTTGCAGCTTTTTGCAGTCTTCATTTAATTAATATTCACTTCTTTATTCTAATGGAAATGCATAACTTCAATTTTCCCATACTGCATTCCATCTGTCAAATTTTTGTTCACTCACTTAACCAATCTATCTCCCTTGGTAGACTCTGTGTCATCCTCACCACTTGTCTTTAAACTATTTTTGTGTTATCTGCAGACTTGGCCATAGTACATTCACTCCCCTCATCCAATTCATAAATATGTATTGTAAATTGTGGCCCCAGCACTGAGCCATGTGGCACTTCACTAGTTATAAGTTATTGTCCTGAAATTTCTCCCCACTCCCATCCCAGCCCCAACCATTAACTCGATCTAAGCTAACATGCTACCCTGAACACCAAGGGTTCTTATTAAGTAGACTAATGCTTGGAACCTTCTTGAACTTTTGGAAATTCAAATATATTAGATTAGGTTCCCTTTTTATCTGTCCTACTTCTTATGCCTCAAAGAATTCTAAAATTTTTCAGGCATGTTTTCCTCTTCATAATGTCAAGCTTAACTATATAATGCATTGTTAAATGCTCTACTGTATCCTTTATAATGACACTAACATATTTCCAATGACAGATATTAAGTTAATTGGCCTATAGCTGACTACTTTAGTCCCTTTCTTTTGAACAAGGATGGTACGTTGGCAGTTTTCCAATCCTCTGGGTCTTTTCTAGAATCTAAGGATTCTTGGAAGGTTGCTGCCAGTGCATCCACAGGAAGATGGAAGCTTGCAATCCAATGCTACAATTAGTTACTAGATTACACTATGTAATTCCTGTTTCCTGTTGTTTTTGCGCTCTACCATTATGTCCAGGAAGGGTAGTCGGTTGTTTATCTCTTCTTCTTCCGTGAATTCACCGGACATAATGGTAGAACGCAAAAACAACAGGGAACTTGACTAGCGTACATAGAAAGACCACACATATGGGCCAGATACTCAATTACACTAGCAACCACCCCAGCGCCCACAAACAGAGCTGCATCAAGACACTATTTAAGTGAGCTACAACACATTGCCGCAACCCAGAACGACGCAAAGCAGAATAGGAGCAGTTATATGGAGTCTTCAAAAGAAATGGATACCAGGAAAGCACAATCTGCTGTTACCTCCGAGACAGATCACAACAGGAAGACACCACACACAACACGACCAGACTCACTAATCACCCTACTATACATCAAGGACATTTCAGAGATGACCACAAGACTACACAGACCCCTAGGTACTAGAGTAGCCCACAAACCGACAACCACCCTACATCAGCTACTGACGAATGTAAAGGATCCCATACTCAAAACCAGTAAAGCTGGGGTAATGTACAAAATACCATGCAAGGACTGTGAGAAACACCTATATAGGCCGAACCAGAAGAAAATTGACTATATGGATATGTGAACACCAACTAGCCACCAAGAGACACGACCAATTCTCACGTGTCTCACTACACGCGGACAATGAGGGACACGAATTCACCCGGGACAACGCATTGGTAATCGCACAAGCCAAACAGAGACATGCCAGGGAATTCCTGGAGGCTTGGTATTCCAACCGGAACTCCATCAACAAACATGTTGAATTAGACAGTGTGTATAAACCACTGAGGAAACAAAAACGGAAGTAATACCAACCACCCCAGCAAACTGAGACGTATAAATAACAAGCGGGACAGAACACTGACGCTTCACCGGTGTTACCTCGCAGGGTGACGAAATGTTTACAATCAAACCCACCAGCTCGGCGAGTATACCTACAACCCCATACGTGACCTGAGCTATAAATCTTCTCACAACCTTTAGAAACATACAGTATTTGGAGTAACAGCTGAAGCCCAAGTCCCAGATGCTGAAATTATTAGTATTTTTGATCTTTGTGCATTGTCATACTACACTAGTAATAATGTGATGTACAAATAAATTTGAATGTACTCTACAGAAGAAAAGAAAATAATTGCCAAGTCATAGTGGAGAGTTCAGAGCTAGATAACTGAGTGCTTAGTTGAAAAAAAAATTTTAATGGAAAGTGACATATTAAGGTGTTCACAGAAGGAGCTGAAGGTTTTGTACCAGTAGTACAGCAGAGTGAGGAAGATGGAAAGAAAGCTGGAGTCAGGTGTGAAAGTTCTGTCAGTCTTATGTCGTGATGATGGTTTGAGCCATGATGGTGAACTCTATGCTAAGCATTGCCTGGTGCAGCTCAGCAGTCCCACTGTGGCACAGCAGTTTCTGCTGTTGTTGCTATAGAAGATGACAGTGGACTGAAAACGTACGTGATCGTTCTTTCATTACCTGGACAATGACTGGCAGTATTGAATGCCATTCAAGATCCAGATGTTATTGTGATTTTTTTCAAATAGATTTTTATTTTGCATAAATTTTTCAAAGAGGATTATATCTAAAGACCTGATAATCTCAAAGGAGATTTATATCACGGCCTTAAGTTTGCGGTGACCTTTTATTTTAAATAAACTGTCATCTGACTGCTTAAAATAAAGAACGGCGGATGCTGGAAATCTGAAACAAAAACAAAAATTGCTAGAAAAGCTTAGCAGTCCTGACAGCATCTGGGCAGTCAGCAGAGTTAATGTCATCTGAGTCACCAGACTCGAAACATTAGTTCTGTTTTCTCCCCCAAGATGCTGCCAGACCTCCTGCATTTCTCCAGCAGTTTCTGTTTTCGTATCCGACTGCTTATCCTGTCTGCACAAACACTTCTCTGTTGTCACACTTTCACCAAAATGTAAATATAAACTCTTTTCATTGTAACTATACTTTCACGGCAAGGGTTGCACAATGAAATTTCAGTCTTTTAGCCTTTTAACTGCCCTTCCTGTACTTCAGATAAATGCTGTTGATCCAGCCTTCTTCACTTCAAAGCTTTCAATACGTTTTCTTACTAATAGTTAAATAATGCTCAGATTTTATTTTATTTAATTTAGGTATTTGACTTTAAAGTGGGAGCTGAATTATACGTGCACACCCTGGCTCAGTTATTAGGATATAGGAACACAAGATCAGAAGTAGGTCTTTTGGCATTTTGAGCTTGTTTTGTAATTCAGTAAGATCACTTTCCTGTCTACACAATGTAACCCTCCACTGCCTTGTCTCTCAAAAATGTATCTAACTTGATATTGACTAAACTTCAAGACCCAGTCCCTGTTACCTTCTGGGAAAGATTAGAAAAAATCTGACCCCATCATTAGGTAACTGCAAAGGGAGCAAGTTTGTCACTTCTTGAGGAGTAGAACATTGTCTCCTTATCACATAGAAGACTACTAACCACAAAAATAATAAGTTACTACCTATGCTTTAAACCACTTCACTTGAAGTCTACATTTAATCTTAATTACTATGCCCAGTGCCATGAGAGATTAATTTGTATTCATATTTGATTTGTGTATAAGGATCAAAATAATGTCTCTTATTTTGCAAAATAAAGAGTGACAAAGGGAAAATGTAAGACACTCTTGAGGACATTGATACTTTAAGGCATTATATCGAACTGAAATAAATGGAAGTGCTGATGTACAGTTGCTATTTTATGTGCAGTACTATATTGGAGACCCTATTATAGAGAGGATATCCAAGCCTTGAGAAAATGTGTCATTGCTAGGTTATCTAAAGAATGACAAAAATTTTGAGAGATTGTATATTTAAAACAAAATGGGATTATGTTGAAAGAAGATGAAGGAAATTAATCAAATTCAGATTTAGAAATGGGATGAGCAGGTAATTGCAAAAGGTGATTTCCATTGATTGATGAATAGACAAAAGCAGGATCAAAATTATTGATACAAGCGAAAAGGAACAGAAAGAAATATTTGTATTTAATGCTTTTCATGACTGCTGGACATCACAGTGACTTGAAGCCAATTAAGTACTTTTGAAATGTGCTGACTAATTTAGAAATGTGGCAGACATTTTTCCAGACAGCAAGTTCCCACAAACAGCATTACTGAAATGACCAAATAATCATGTTGATTTGAATAGCAAGAATTGATCATAAGACCAATCATACCAGGCCTGCCATTCAAAATAATGCCATGCTTTTGAGATGCTTTTGCGTTCACTTGAACAACGAGATGAGAATTTTACTTAACGTCTTCAGTGAGACAGCACTGTGTAGCAACCTTGTGACTTGATGAGAATTCTACTAACTGAACCAGATTGACGCTTGTGAATGAGAGAGTGGCTAATTTGATGATTCATTTTGATTCTGTAACTGCACACTCCTCAAACAAGAGACCGATAGCGATATTGAAATACAGATAGGGAAGTACAATAATATTTGCAGTAACTTAGAGTTTATCAATTTCTAGGTCTACTTAAATCTGACATCCATCTGACGTTCCAGCAGTAATAGCTGTTGTATGGAATGGTAATCATTCGGGCTATGATGTGCACGTTACACTTTTATTTCAAGGTTCACAAGTGTCATGTACAAGGTTAATAAAAATTAATTGCAAAATTTTAGCCTTGTTTGTCACACACTAAAATGTGTTTGTGATGCAGTATATACTTGCAGTTTGATAGCTGGTTATAAAAAGAATCTGACCTGAAAAAATATTTTTTCTATTCCTTCCTTACTGCAGGGTAATGGCTCACAAGCTTGCAGAGGTCCCTCTGGTGAGTAGATGATCCCGTGTAGAAATATATATAGCTTAATTTGGTAGTCATCCTTAAACTTGTGTTGATTCAGTTTTGAAGTTTCACCTTATGATCCTGTTGCTCCTCATCCATCTGCTTGATCCCAGATCCTCCTCACCTGTGATTGTGATAAACTCAGATCTTCAAAATATAAAGTGTTTTTATTTTAAGGTTAACTTGAACAGCCTGTTCTAAGATGCAGAGCAGATATAACTGTACTTTGTATCAGTTTTGTGCAGTTCATGCTAGCTTTTAGGCTGGCACAAAACTTGTAGTGTTCTGTGCACTGAATGAAGGTCAATTGGAATACTAGCCACACTGTGGAGCCTAACGGAGCTAATCATAAAATCATTCTTGAGAATGGGCTCTGTTTTTGGAAAGCTTGGAACTGGTTCAGGTGGTTTATTGACAGCAAGAATTAGGTATAAAATATGAAGTTTTTGTGAGAAGAGGTAAACAAATTAGCTTTGCACAGTTGCCACTAGCTGAAAAATGGGTGATGTTCAAACTGAACTAGGTCATGGAGGCCTGATATTCTTCTAGTGAAACTTGGCAGAAAATAGTGGTGGATTATGGGGTTGGTACTTCTTGATTATTGCTCAGCTGCCTGAGAAGGATCCATGTGAATCTTTGAGTGTAACTCTAACTGTATCTGTCCTCTTGATATTGTCTGGTTCTCGATTATTAAGATCAACGAAGATTAAAGTGATGACATTGAAATATTTAAGTATGGAATTCTTCTCATTTCACGAAATACTTCTGGAGTAACTGAACATTTGATGCGTTCCCAGCACGGACTGTTGAGCAATGTTGTGCATTGCAGCTTCAGTTTACTTAAGTATGAAGATGATGCCTGGGTCATGCCCTCGGGGAGAAGTATCCATGTTAAATATTTGAACTACTTTGGTGTTAGCTTCAGAGTGGAAATCACTAGAGGGCATGGAGCTTGCTACATTTGGTGCTTCGATTTCACAGTGATTCTGAAGTTATTCTGTGGTCACAGTAAGTTAAGCTTGCACATCAATCGTATTTTGAGTATGATGTGGAGGCGCCCGTGTTGGATAGGGTGGACAAGGTCAAAAGTCAGACGACACCAAGTTATAGGCCAACATGTTTATTTAAAATTACAAGCTTTCAGAGCGTTGTCCCTTCGTCAGGTGAAGTGTGTATTTTGAGTACGTAGAACTTCCTTGAATCTTTTAAACTACACTATAACCATTTTGATCAGCTTCCAAAACTGATGTATTGTTTTCATGTCATGATTCTGTGGAGATTTTCCACATGTGGTGGAGTTTGAAATAAGGTGCCAACAGTTCAGGATGTCACACAAAAAATCCATGAAGGAACTTCAGGGAAATGCCTTCAGGCAGTAGATCGAGTAGGAAATTGTCACCATGTGTAGTGGATAAGAAGAATAACATAGATGCCTTTTCAGGGGAAAGTGGATAAGGACATGAGAAAGAAAGGAATAGAAGAATATAAAAATACGACAAAATGAAGTAGGATAAGAAAGGCTTCTATGGTATATAACAACGCTAGTGACCAATAGGGCTCAATGGCTTGTTCTCAGCTGTATGTTCTGTGAAAATGTGGCAACTTCTTAGCATCACTGGTCATATTTAGTTATTCCCTTACTTTATCAAGAGTTCTCATTAGTTGGTTGTGTTAACATTTGTGTTAAAGCATATGTGGTATTAAGTTGAAAAATGTACATGGGAATTCACATGCTTTTAAAATGAAGCAACGTTGCAAGTGCAAGCAATTATTGCCTGAATGTTTGACGACTTGAAATTATCACTGAATATTCTTTTAAAAATGCATGCACCATTTTTTTTTAAACTTCATGCAAAATCTGAGAATAAACAAATACATCTCTTCTAGGGCTTTTGGTGTGCTATCGGTCTATCTATGATAAAAGCAGACAGCTTCCGTAAGTACTGAGAATAGCAGCTGTATTCATTGAAAATATATGCTATAGATTCCAGACCTCTGTGATTTATCTTGTACTCTTGGAACCATTCCTTACCAGTACTTTTTAACTCACATTTGTTTTTCCTTCTTCCACCACCTTCAACCATTTAAGATGTTCAGGTTTTAGATTTCAGGCACCCATCTAGTCAAGAGGAAGAAGGAAGCTTACTTAAGGTTGAGGAAGCAAGGATTGGACAGGGATCTAGAGGGTTACAAGGTAGTCAGGAAGGAACTGAAGAATGGACTTGGGAGAGCTAAAAGGCGGTATGCAAAAACCTTAGCGGGTAGGATTAAGGAAAACCCCGAGGCATTCTATATTTATATGAGGAACAAGAGGATGGCCAGAGTGAGGGTAGGGCCAATCAGGGATAGTTGAGGGAATTTGTGCGTGGAGGTGGGGGAGGTCCTTAATGAATACTTTGCTTCAGTATTCACCAACGAGAGGGACCTCGTAGTTTGTGAGGACAATGCGAAACAGGCTGATATGCTCGAACAGGTTGATGTTAGGAAGGAGAATGTGCTAAAAATTTTGAAAAACATGAGGATAGATAAGTCCCCTGAGCCAGGCGGGACATACCCAAGGTTACTACGGGAAGCAAGGGAAGAGATTGCTGCATCTTTGGAGATGATCTTTGTGTCCTCACTGTCCACTGGAGTAGTACCAGATGATTGGAGGGTGGCAAATGTCATTCCCTTTTTCAAGAAAGGGAATAGGGATGATCCTGGAAACTACAGACCAGTCAGTCTTTCTTCTGTGGTAGGCAAATTATTGGAGAGGATTCTAAGAGATAGTATTTATGATTATTTGAAAAGCACAATTTGCTTAGAAATAGTCAGCATGGCTGTATGAGGGGCAGGTCATGCCTTTTAAGCCTTATTGAATTCTTTGAGGATGTGACAAAACACGTTGATGAAGGTAGAGAAGTGGATGTGGTGTATACGAATTTAGCAAGGCATTTGACAAGGCTCCCCATGGTAGGCTCATTCAGAAAGTAAGGAGGCATAGGATCCAGGGAAATCTGGCTGTCTAGATACGGAATTGGCTGTGCAAGAGGGTGGTAGTAGATGGAAAGTATTCAGCCTGGAGCTCGTTGACCAGTGGTCTTCTGCAGGGATCTGGGACCTCTGCTGTATGTGATCTTAATAAATGACTTGGATGAAGAAGTGGAGCGGTATGTTAGTAAGTTTGCTGTTGATGCAAAGGTTGGTGGAGTTGTGGATAGTGTGGAGGGCTGTTGCAGGTTGCAACGGGACAGTGATAGGATGCAGAGCTGAGCAAAGAAGTGGCAGATGGAATTCAACCTGGGAAAAGTGTAAAGTGATTCATTTTCGAAGGTCGAATTTGAATGCAGAACACAGAGTTACTGGCAGAATTCTTGGCAGTGTGGAGGAACAGAGGGATCCAGGGGTCCATGTCCATAGATCCCTCAAAGTTGCCACCCAAGCTGCAGCTCTATAAAACCCTGGTTCGACCACACTTGGAATATTGTGTTCGTTTCTGGTCGCCTCATTATAGGAAGGATGTGGAAGCTTTCGGGAAGGTGCAGAGGAGATTTACCAGGATGCTGCCTGGACTGGAGGGCAGGTCTTATGAGGAAAGGTTGAGGGAGCTGGGGTTTTCTCATTGGAGCGAAGAAGGATGAGGGGTGACTTGATAGAGGTGTACAAGATGATGAGAGGCATAGATAGAGTGGATAGCCAGAGACTTTTTCCCAGTGTGGAAATGACTATTATGAGGGGGCATAATTTTAAGGTGATTGAAGGTGTAGGGGAGATGCCAGAAGTAGGTTCTTTACACAGAGTGGTGGGTGCATGGAATGCGCTGCCAGCGGTGGTAGTCGAGTCAGATGCATTAGGGACATTTAAGCGACTCTTGGATAGGCACATGGATGATAGTGAGATGTAGGGTATGCAGGCTAGTTTGATCTTAGAGTAGGATAATAGGTCAGCACAATATCATGGGCTGAGAGGCCTGTACAATGCTGTACTGTTCTATGTGCTGTTGCTATGTGGCCAATACAAAGTGACATTTGACTGTTGCTGTACAGGGATGTTCTTTCCATTCAATACAAATGTTTTAGGATACCATTTGTTGATAATACAATGATGGGTGATTCACTGTCCTCTTGGTTAAAAAATACCAGAAAGTTATTGCATGGCTAATCCCATGTAGCTGGTTGACTTCTGTCATGCTGATCACTAGCAAAAACATAAACCTACTCTAAAAGGGAGCCAAGAGTCACAACGCCTTTATTAGAGAACTGTGATTTTTAAAAAAATAAAAACATCGTAACAGTAAACGTGAAATTTAAGATAGAAAAATCTAAGTAATTGTATCCAAGGGATGGGTTGTATATTAGGTACATGCACAGATTCATGTAACTGTTATTTAAAGGGAAACAATTTTCTTTATGTGGAAAGCTTAAAAATAAAACCGTTTTCTTTGAACTGAAGAACAGTTATTTGTGAATGCATCTCTGTCATTGATCTTGCCTATCCAGCTTCAAATATATAAGTCTGCAAATATTACCAAACATAAACTGTAATTGTGATTGGAGCTTGCTTTATTTGTAATCAGATCTGTGTCCTCTGTATAATGTTTGGCTCTAATTATGGTTGCTTACAGACAAAATGTCTCTAAATTCAGCATCTTCCACCTCCGACACTTTAAGACATCAGCAGTCTTTAGTAAGTATTGTATTGTTTTATCTGGCGTATTATCCCACTTCCATTTGTCCTGTTGTTTGAGACATTAAGTCTTCTCATTCTAGCTAGATATTCATTATACAAATCAGCTGTGCTACAGTTACATGATAAGTCAGGTAATTGTTTTTAACTGTGACCAAATTACCTTATTAAATGATATCTTGTATTAAGTTACACAGTATCATAAATGTGGAAACAACATAACATTTAAGACTACGAAGTATATCAACTGTATCACACTTGAAAAGTTGTTTTTAACATTTTTTAAGTGGATCCTGGAAAGAATGCAACTCTAATACGCATTTTTTTCTGCAAGAAGCAAACAGTTAATGGACAGGTGGAATAATACTTGGTGTGATACTGGATTAATGCTCATCATGAGTATTATTAAGCATATTCCATTAAATATATTCTTCTGTCTTGATCCTTGTCATAACTGGATTCTGTTAATGGTGCATGATCAACATCAAGGTGTCTTAGTGTGGTGAAGGAAGTTTAGAGTGTGCAGTTTGCGCAGGGTAAGCCCCTTACTAGACATTAACAATAGAATGATGTTAAAAGTTGTTCAGCAATGACAGCTTTTACTTTGAGTCACCCTTATTATTCATATCAAGACTATATTTTATATATTTATCTTGTTTTGATCAATACAATGAAATATGATTATAGACAGGCTCAGTGCAGCCAAACCTAAAACTGGGTCTAAAAACGAGTCAAATTAAACTTTTTGTTGCCTTTTTATGGCTAAATATGAACAAGGCCATATTATGACTTCTTTGTACTTTTAACTTGCAATTGGGAGATTTGGATACTGTCTGAAACCTTCAGTATGGAATACCAGTACACGTCTCTGAGGATATGTCTTAATAATAAATAGTAGATAGATAGTAAGGAAATTCTGGATGAAATGAATCAGTATTTTGCTCCTAACTTTACTATAGAGGATATAAAAAACATTCAGGTAAAAGCTGTAAATCAGGAGGTGGAAGGGAGGGAGGAACCTATTGAAATTTCAAACACGTGGGAAGCAGCCTTAAGCAAAATAATTAAGCTGTGGGCTGACAAATATCTGGGTCCAGAAGGGCTTAAAAGATTTGGTTAATGAGATATTATATACATTGTTGTTAATTTCCCCAAATTCCTTGGATTCAGGTACGGTTCCATCAGACTGGAAACTAGCAAATATAACCACTCTATTCAAAAAGGGAGGTAGGCAGCAAACAGAAAACTATAGGCTAGCTAAGCTTGATGTTTGTCATGGTGAAGGTGTTGGAATTGATCACTAAAGAGATTATACCTGCACACTTTGGAAAAACTAAAGGTAATTAGGAAAAGTGTGCATGGTTTTGTTAAAATCAAAACATGTTTAACTAATTTATTGGAATTCTTTGAAGAAGTGACATGCACTGTGGATGTTCTATACTTGGATTTACAGAAGACCTTTGATAAGGTTTCACATCAGAGATTATACAAAAAGTAAACACTCATGATTTGGTGGGGTAACCTATTCATGTGGATAGTCAGTTAACTAGCTGGCAGTATGTGTATACATAAATGGGTCTTTGATTGGCAGGATGTGACTAGTGAAGTCCTCTGTACTAGGGCCTCAGTAACTTAGCTCCCTTCATCTAAGTTATTGATATAAATTCTAAGGCATGGTAGCTAAGTTTGCAGACAATGTCAAGATAGGTAGAGAAGTATATTGTGAAGAAGACATGTAAATGTTGCAGATGAATATGGATTGGTTGAGAGTAGCCAAATAACTGGCCCTATATAACGGAAGGGAAATGTGTTGTTCATTTCGGCAAGAAGAATAAAAAAGTAGAGCATTACTTAAACTGAAAACAACCACAGAATTCTGAAGTGCAGAAGAATTTGGATATTCTTGTGTATGAGTACAAAATTTTATTATGCAGATACAGCACATAATTAAAAAGGCCAGTGGAATACTATCTACTTCCTTTGTTACAAGAGGAATTGAACATAAAAGTGAGGATGTTTTGCTTCAGCTATACAGGACATTGGTGAAACCTCATTTTGAATACTGTGTGCAATTTTGATCAGAGATAATAGGAACTGCAGATGCTGGAGAATCTGAGATAACAAGGTGTGGAGCTGGATGAACACAGCAGGCCAAGCAGCATCAGAGGAGCAGGAAGGCTGACGTTTCGGGCCTAGACCCTTCTTCAAAAATGGCATTTTTGCAGGAAGGTGGGTGGGAGGAGGTGTATTCTAGGTAGCTGTGGGAGTCGGTGGGCTTGAAATGGATATCGGTTTCTAAATGGTTGCCAAAGATGGAGACAGAGAGGTATTAGAGATGGTCCAGGTGAACCTTAGGTTGGGGTGGAAGGTGTTGAAGTGGACGAACGGTTCGAGCTCCTCGTGGGAGCACGAGGTGGCGCCAATACAGTCATCAATGTAACGGAGGAAGAGGTGAGGTTTAGGGCCAGTGTAGGTACGGAAGAGGGATTGTTCCACGTAACCTACAAAGAGGCAGGCATAGGTTAGGCCCATGCGGGTACCCATGGCCACCCCCTTTGTCTGTAGGAAGTGGGAGGAATTGAAAGAGAGTTGTTGAGGGTGAGGACTAGTTCGGCTAAGCGGATGAGGGTGTCAGTGGAGGGGGACTGGTCGGGCCTGCGGGACAGGAAGAAGCAGAGGGCCTTTAGGCCATCTGTATGGGGAATGCAGGTGTATAGGAACTGGACGTCTATGGTAAAGATGAGGTGTTGGGGACCAGGGAATTGGAAGTTCTGGAGGAGGTGGAGGGTGTGGGTGGTGTCATGGACGTAAGTAGGGAGTTCCTGGACCGAGGTGGAGAAAATGGAGTCGAGATAGGTGGAGATAAGTTGATAAAGTAAGCGCGGAGGCGGAGGCGGCGGCGTAAAAACTGCTCAATGTCCAAACATGACTGGTATTCATTGATGTGTGGGTGGAGGGGTTCAAAGGTGAGCCCTTTACTGAGGACTGACCGTTCGTCCTCAGTGAGGGGGAGGTCTGGAGGAATGGTGAAGACTCAGCAGGGCTGTGTGCTGCTGTCTCCTCTGGAGCTGCTAGCTGTGGAGGCGATGGGCGGAGCGACGTCGGCGTTGGTGGTGGGCCGTGCGGTGTTGGCAGTGGGCGGAGCGGGGTAGGTGGCAGCAGCAGCGGTGACGGTAGGTGCGTCCTCAGTGTGTATGGCGTTGGCCTTGGAAATGGAGGCGGTGGCATCAGCAGCGGTGTTGCTGGCATTCGCTGTCCTGGAAGTGGTGTACCTGGTGGCGGAGGATGTGATGTCATCCGTGGGTGCTCCGACAGTGGCCACGTGACCAATGGCGGCGGGCACATTGTGGAGAAGGTTCTGGGTAGGGTTGGGGATTTGGGAGGTGGAGGAAGCCCGTTTTGGGTGGTAGGCACCAGTAAGTTTACTGTACTTACGGTTTTTAGTGTCCAATAAAGCTGAGTAGAATTGAGAGTTCAGGCTGTGGATCCTACAAAGAATAAAAAACAGGAGAGGTCCTTTGCAGGTCTGGGAGAGGGAGGCTCTGAGCTGGGGTAGGCTTGATTGTAGTGCCAGGATATGCCGGCACATTGCTGTGAGTGTGTGTTTCAGGAGTCACAGGAAGAAACGCTTCTGAAGGATCTCAATGTTCTGAATGTAGACGTTGTCACGGTTGGGGCCAAATTGGGAAGGCCTGAATGTGGACTGTAGTCCGTTGGGGATGATCTGGCAGGTTCCGTAGGCAGGTACTAAGAAAGGTGATGTGGCTGTAGTACCTGGTTTGCTTCAGGACGTGGTTGAGCAGTTTCAAGGCCAGAGAGATTTGAAGTGGGAGAGAGATTTCTAGGCCCGAAACGTTAGCCTTCCTGCTCCTCTGATGCTGCTTGGCCTGCTGTGTTCATCCAGCTCCACACTTTGTTATCTGCGATTTTGATCAAATGCATTTACATCCTTTATTTAATAAGATGAAGTGGTTAGAGAACAATCTTACTGGATTAAGATTGGGCAGGCTGGTCTTGTTTCCACTGAAGTTTGAAAGAGTGAGGAATGACTTGATTGTTTTTAAGATCCTAAATAGTCTTGACAATGGACATGGCAAGTATCCAAGTTTCCTCTTGTGGATGAGTTCAGAACTACAGGATGGTATTTTAAAATTAGAGGCTGTCCTTTCAGGACAGTGATATACAGAATGCTTTTCGAAGGGATTGTATAACATTTGGAAGATGATGAAGGTGGATTTTTGAATGTTTTTAAGACAGAAACAGATGGTCTCTTTGGGAGGGGAATTGGGTTAGCAGGAGTTTATGGGAAAGTGAAATTTGAAATAAGAACATTGGCCATGCTACTATTAAATGGTGGAGAAAACCCAAGGAGCTGAATTGTTCTACTTCTGTTTTGATTGTTTGTAATTTGTGTGCCTGTACAGGCTTCTTTGCTTAATCAACCTCTAAATGGACCACTTTTTCTGGTCCAGTTTGCAATAAATGTCTTTTTCATGTAAGTTTTAATAACTTTGTTGTCTTGCTGTTGCAGATAATGAAGTGCTAACAGTAAATACGCCGCCCTTTGCAGAGTCTGTCACAGAGGGCGATGTCAGGTGGGAAAAAGGTACAGTGCATTTTAGGGCAAACTACATAATTGTTTTGTAAGAATGCAGAATTATTTGAACAACAGTGGAGTCACTGCATTATGTTTGATACCAACTGTTGTTTCTTCAGTGACATTCTTGTTGACCAGTTGTTAAATTATTCCTGTAAAAGCATAATATTGGGACGGTTATTGTGGAAAGTTCCCAACATGTCAGATGTTCTAGGCTGTTTTAAGTAAATGTTGTATGAATAATTAAAATAATGCAGTTTACTTTACTTTAGGAAAATCACCTAGCTGTATTTGAAACTTGGTATTTTTTTGACTGTGGCCATTCTGAGTTATCCCTTCTCAACCAGTCTAAAGCCCTTAATGCAGTAACCCATGATACCTATCCCCAGTGCCTTTCCTTGGTCATCCAGCAGGGTGGGATTGCAGTCACATAGTTCCATTCTTATCTATCCAGTTATAATCGTTACACCTAATGTCTTCTCTTTTTACTCCTGCATAGTTAACCCCATTTATTCCTCATCCACGAGGCAGCACGGTGGCTCAGTGGTTAGCATTGCTGCCTCACAGTGCCAGGGACCGGGGTGCGATTGCACCCTTGGGCGACTGTCTCTGTGGAGTTTGGACGTTCTCCCTGAGTCTGCGTGGGTTTCCTCCCACAGTCCAAAGTTGTGCAGGTTAGGTGGATTGGCCACGCTAAATTGCCCGTCGTGTTCAGGATTCCTAGATTAGGTGGGTTAAAGGGCGATGGGTCTGCGTGGGATGCTCTGAAGTTCGGTGTGGACTCATTGGGCCAAAGGGCCTGTTTCCACACTGCAGGGATTCTATGATTCTGTCTATGACATACTGCCTCTCATCACATTATTGTTTTTCCCAATGTCAGATTGCACACATTTTGATGATGCTGACCATTAGGTGGCACAAATCTGTCATGACCTTGTTTCACAAAACGGTCGAAGGAAATGGCACCACCAGATGCTACAGGAAGTGTGAATAATGCGACTGTGACCCCATTGGATGACAGGCATCAAGGGAGGTGGGGAGAAGAGTTACAGCAACAGCCCAGGCCCCAGACGTGGCCTCCTAGTAAAAAGTAGGCCCCTGTTCAGCGTGGGTAAATGAAGTGGTGGCGGCTGGAGAGAGCAGATGCTGCCAGCCTCCCCTCCCGGCCCTGCTTTTACACCCAGCCTTTGTCCCATTCCTGCCGGGGCAACACCTCTGCCTCACCTCTCCAGCCCTTTCAGTGGCATGTGCTCTGATGATGACGATGTAATTGGCACATGCATTGTCACTTCCTGCACCTTGTCCTTATGCAACAGGTGACATCTGTGTCTGTGGCTGTGTCTGCATGTGCGTGGAGGCCAATATACATTATGTATAATTGCCAGATGATACCCATCTTTACTTCACCACCAGCATTAATATTGAGCTTGGAACACTGTTTGCCCAATATTTAGTACTGGGTGAAGATTGAAAACATTGTTTTGATTTTGTTGATACCCAGTTTATAGTGCAGTGTTAATGTTGAGATCTGAGCTCTGCTTTGAGGGACCAGGGGTTTTATAAGTTGTTTTTTATGCATTCCAACCATGGTTGGGTATGTGGTATGAGAGACTGGTATCAGTGTAAATCCAATGCCAATATGAAGGTGTACTGAAATTTGACTTTCATTGATACTGTGTGTCTTGGTGAATAGAAACCTGCTGTGAAACTTGATAGTTTCTTCTTTCAGTTGCACGCATAGGTTTTGTAGATCTGTGACTGACAATTGTATGAATAGGAAAGACCAAAGGCAGTACTTGGCAAACTTTACTCCACTGTGACCATCATTTTCAAGCTCCAAAATTGCTGTATATTCCAGTGTGCCAGCAGGGTTAAGGGACTAAATTTAAGAGTAGTTTTTTTAGGTGGAGTGAGAAAGGTGAGGAAAGAAGAGAGGAGCAGAGCTGATATGTGAAAGTCAAAGGGTGAGAGATTTAGAAGAGTGGTGCAGGAGAGGTTGAATATGTTGGGAAATATTTAAGCTGTGAGATTTAAGAAGAAAATTACCCTTTCACAGGCATTTCTGGAGCAGGAATCAGTCTCAAAGAAGCTGCCAATTAAGCTATGTCCCCCAATAGGGGGAAAATAGATTTAATAGGACCATGCAGCTGCTAGCATTCATTCTGATCTCCACAGCAGCTCATTGTGTTTCAGAGCTTGAGACAGCTGAAAATCTCATCTTCCCCCGTTGCTTGGCAATCCCTGACCTGAGGTCAAGCCTCAACAGTGCTCATCAGAATTCTCCAACTCTTTAGGTATCAACTTTTTAAAGAAGCAAAAAAAAAGCTTTGGATTGAACTAGAGCCAGGAAATTGTCTTTAGGTGGTATATTACTGTTGTGTGGATTGATAAGATATAACAACGCAAACACCCCTTTCAGACCTTGAGCCACTGTTCTGCCATTCGGTTATGTCATGACTGATCTGCATATGACTATCATTTACTTGGCTCTTTCCATTTTATTTTTTGCTGTCCTTTTCCAGGAAAATTATGGGGCTCACTTAGGAATGGCTGCATTAGACAGGGAGAGTTGGGAAGGGAGAAGTGCAGATAAAACAATACATTCAGGTAGCAATTTAACACTTTCCAGATGAACTGATCAGGTAAGCAGGATGCACTGGATATCCCTTATGATATTAATGTATACATATGAATATTCTGTATGTAAACTGTCAGAATTGTACATATTTTTAATAATTTAAGTTTGGATTTTGCATTATTTAAGCAGGTTTTGGGTCTTCTGTGTGTCTGAAGATAATTTGCTATTAACTTGATATTCTGTAGCCATGGTGATCCTCTAAAATAACTTGAGGGGGCTAGTTTGGCAGCCTAATGGTTTTATAAACCTTAGGATTATGCCTTAGGGTGCACTATTGTACTTTAAGGTCGGTTATAAATTTCTAGATTTGGGGAGTTTCCTTAAAGCTTAAGGGAAATGTTTATGTCTTATTTTCGTTTTACTTTGTTTTAGGCAGTTCTGAGAAGCCCTTGCATGGAGATGCATTGGTGGGAGGGTAGTTGAGACATTATCAGAGTCCCTGAATGAGTTTTGATCTTATATTCTGAATTCCCTTATGAAATACCTATATTTCATCCCTGTGTTTCATTACAGCCGTTGGTGATGCAGTAAGTGAAGATGAGGTGGTATGTGAAATTGAAACCGATAAGGTTCGTAATGTTTCTGACCAGCTAATTTTGTTTCCTTTTTAGTTTCTGAACTGATTGTGGTTGACGTGATAAACAGCCTCCTGTATAACTGCTGGTATTTAAATGATAGATGTTCCCAGGATATCCCAGCCCCATTATATTTTCCTTCCATGTGGCACTGTGTTACTCCGATGTTGATAGCCACTGTTTGAAAATTATGATGAGATGACACTTGCCCACTCTGTACAGTTCCTACCACCCCCAGAAATATCAAGGTGAATGTCTGTGATACCAGAAACACCTGTCCCCTGAACTATTGCTTTCTTAATCTCATATAGCCCATCTGTACAGCTGAGTCAGCTGTGGTGCTGCACAATTGGCTCTCGCAGCACTTCCAGATCAATCATCACTCACTAGTATTAAAAACTGAATACTAGTTGGAAAGTGAGATGCACTCTGAGGTCTTGAGCATTTCCTACCTTGTCTTGATTGTCTGGTGGTCACCCATTCCCTATCTGCATGCCCTTAAACAGCAGGCAATATCCAGAAACATAATATCCATGCAACTCTCTGTTTCGTGAATGCATCGCAGTGGTGCAAGCTGCTGCTCAACCTCCAAATCCTGTAGCCATGGCAGTCACCAGTTTATGCCACTTACTGCACTGGTTGTCTAGCATTCAAGAAGCATCCCAAAATTCCCACACAATGATGTGCATTTCACAGGACTGAAGCGCCCTGCCACTTCTCTCGGTTAACAGAATAAATCAAAGACTTAGACTATATAGAAAACCTCATCAGCTACTCATCAGTCTGCACCTTTTCTTGTGTTGACATCACATTTAGTTATTTTCACATTGCACTTTGCTTCTGCTTTACATCACGTTCACATCAACTTGGTTGACTCTTAAATACACCCTAAGCAATAAATGCTGACCTAGACAGTGGTGCCCACATCCCATGAATGAATAAAAAGTTGCTGTCTCTCTGAACTTAAATAATTTTCTATTTTCTCACCTAATTCACTCTGCTCTTGGAGCCCTACCTGTGTACTTGCTGTACTCAATGATGACATCACCCTTTCAGCAGGATTCTAAGAATTCTCTAGTGTAAGTGCTAGACAACTTCTGCCTTGATAATTGATACTGATGGAAACTTCTCCTTCATAGGTACTCATTTTTGCAGTCACTGGGCTCCACCCTCTATGCTTATGTTAACCCTGTTGCACTCCTTTTATTTTAGTATCAAACACGTGACTGTCCATCTGCTTAAAACTGCCACTATCTGGTTAATTTAATAAATCACTCCCAGACGGGGTCTTTCTTAAAGGTGGCCAGTGCTAGATTTCAGATGCATGCTGCTATAACCTTTTGGTTCAGGTTGCTGAGCAGGGATTAGTAAAATTAGCTTGAATATGCCACATTTCTTTTAATCTGCTTCATCACTGCTCCTTTTTCTTGTCCTTTTACAAATTCTCAGCAGTCATCCTTTTGGTTCAGTTAATTATCAGCCTGTATCTATTGTGCAATAATCGATTATTTCAGTCACCTTATTACTTTGGAAATCGGAGTTCAATTTTATCTGTAGGAATGCTGTTATCTGGACAGAACACTTAACCATTCCATTTTCTGTCATAAGACTAATGATATTAAATGCTTCTTGACAATTGCTACCTTAATT